GCCTAAACACTAAGATACTAATATACAGTACATTGTTACTGTCAATGTGTGAAATTGGGCATTTTATAGAATGCCTAGGAAATCTACAAAATGCCAAAAATGGGACATCAAAGCATGATGCTTAATATTTCACACATTTCCTAGGCATTCTATGAAATGCCAAAGTCAAACCGGCAAAATATAAAATATTCCCGCTAAAATGCTGTTCTATACTTTCTTATTGGAGCAAATAGATCAATGCCGATCTTTTTCTCTTGTTCTTTTCTGTAAGAAAGTCCTGTACTTTATTTTGCATTTCTTCTTTCATTTTCATGTATGTCTTTTCAATAAATAGTATTAACCTTAACCCTAATCTTTTTCACGACTCTCTTTTCACACTTTTGTCTAAATAGTTCTTGTTGGTTTTGCATACTGCTTAGATATTATATACAATGCCTAGGTAAAGTATATAGCATATTACAGAGGCATTTCATGCATTCTATCCCAAGGAATTATTTCAGCTTGCAAAGAATGTCAAAATGTTTTTAATTTCTGCACCACAAAAAACTAGAAAAGATTTCAAATGAAACAAAACAAATAAACAAATCACACTGTATTGCTGCCACAGCTCTGGAGTTGTACCAGCAGCTCTGGGGTTTCTTGCTGTGCCTTAGAAAGGGAAAATGAGTGGAGAGGAACTGAAGGGGATGAAGTTCCTCGCCTTGTAAGAACGAAGACTCCAGGCTGGGACAAAGCTGGGAATGGCTTGGACTGGGATGGGTCCTCACCTAATGACCATGCTGAATTCACTTAACAAAGGCAACAGAGAACTGCTAAGCAAGGCAGTCATATGATGTTTTAGTTACTGATTGCTGTGCTTAGTGATGGAATTGCTGATCCCAGTTAGGGTTATGAAGTGAGGACTACCTGTAAGCCAAGAGTACTGAAAACAAACTTACTTCCAATGTTTCATAAAAATCAAAGGAGGCAAGTAAGTACAGGCAAGTATTAATCTCTTCTCTGGTTCCATGTAGAGGAGAAAGATTAAAAAAATCATTTCAAATATAAATACATTCTGTTCATTTTGAAATCAAATAAGATATATTTTTGAAATGCAAATTAAGCTAAGGTTTACAGAAAACCGCTCCCTTAAAACATTCAGTGTCAGTTTCAGAAAGCATGTGCTTCAATAAATAGATGCCAGACAGGAAACACAAGTAGATGAGTTAAATTTATTTCATTGTAAAGCTACATTATCAGAATCTGGCAAGTCTGAAACTACAAAAATTCCTACCGCCACTTTTAACTGCTTGATCCTTTTCTCAGGTGAATCCTTTCCAAATTTCTTTCTTTGACCATTAAGTCACTGGGGGCTCCTGCTTTTCTTGTCTTATTATTTCCTTGGCAGCATCACTTCCCCTCTTTCCCCAAGGTCATTCCCACATTCTACTACAGGCAATCTCCTTTCTGAAGATAAACTCAAAGAGTACAAGTATTTCAGAAATGATGAATGGACAACTTCAACCTTGTTACAATTTTCAGCGCTTGCTCTTACATTCTCAACATGTATCTAGCATGTTGCAAAGATTATTCTGCATGTTATAAAGCTACTAAATACTATGATTACAGGTAAGCTCTTTTTTACAACTGGTTTTTATTTATTGTCACTTAATTCTTCAAATTTCATCTCTTTATCAGTAATAGGCCAAGTAGGAACATATTTAATGGTACTTTTGAAACTATTTAGAAACAAATAACATCCATTTTCATTATGCAGTTGATTAAATCTCTAACACCGTTCATATAGAGCTGTTCTGGCCAAGGCTTCCTAGACTGTAATTATGCAGATGCTTATTTTAAAAACAAGTCTTGTTTTATTGCAACACTGGGAATTATTTTCATTCCCAGCCATTAATGAATCTCAAACAGTCCTTCGTGATAACCTTTCTTTCCTGTGAAGTGCTGCCAATAACAGAAGTGTCAAATAAACTAGAACAAAAACCAACCAAAGTACAAAGAGCTTCAAGAATGAATCTGAACTGCACGAACGACTTTGCTTTCTGCAAAGATGTTGTCATCTTTGACTGTTCTTTACACCTTATGGGAGGGGCAATCACCTCCCAGCCTTACTCCTGAGTCGCCCCTTTTGTTTCAGCTGCTCTTGCCTTCTAGCAGCTCTGTGCACATGCGCACAGGG